ACCGTTATTTTCAGTATAAGGAAAACCCACTAATAAAGATGATTTTATTCACTATTTTTCTGCCCACAGTAAGAGAACCAAAGGCGTGGTCATTGGTTTCTTCCTCTGAGCCCTCAGAATATGCAGCCCTGAGTTCTTGGAGGATGAGATGAAACACGTCTGCAACACTTTCCAACACCTTCACTATCCCCGCTCCATGCTCACCCACCTCCGACGCAAGGCCGAGAAGATCATGAGCAGAGCGAGAGGTGAGGACACACAGAGTAGAACTCAAGAGGATAATCATCCCCCACTCGGAATTGACTGAGCACCTGCAGGCCCTGGTGGGCCGTACTCTCAAGATAGCTACGTTTTCAGGCAAGAAGATCGGAGACATCGTGAGAGAAAAGAGGTCAAACCACGACAGACCCCTCAGCCAGGTGTGCAGCATACCTTGTGAGGGCTGTGATAAGGTATACATAGGCGAGACAGCACGAGGACTGCACGAACAGCGAATCAGCCAACACCGCAGCGCTCTCCGACGCCATGACACGAGAAGCGCCTTCGTTGTTCACGCAGACACCGACGGTCACCTCCCGAAGTGGTCCCAGGCCTCCATCATAAAACAAGGCCTGGCCCTATGACAAAGGAAGATGGTAGAAGCGGCGTTCATTCATACAACTAACAACATCAACACCGCTACGGGGAGTCACGAACTAGCCAAGGTCGTCGCTCACCTGATTACCGACATGACCTGACCACCTAATATTTGTATATATACTCCTGTACGTACCTCTTGTAGTAAACAGAGAGAGATCACCCAATTGGCGAGGCATTATTGTCACCCACTTGGCGTGATCCTCCTGAGCAAAAGTCACTAGAATTTGAGCTTTACTGATATTTTTTGACAACAGACTACACAGAGAGCTCCGCCAATTCATCGTGGTTCGCCGCGACAATTGGCCAGGCCTTTTCTTGTAGTAAGTGCCCCATTACCGCTCCCTTGGAGAGCGAGGTTGCAAACCTGGACTGGACCCCCTGGTCCTGGGCATAGTTTGTGGCCACGCACCAAGGGCGACTTTTCGGTGCCTGACCCTTGCCCTCTCTTTCTGACTTCCTGGTGCAGCCTGGGCCTGCGGGAAACGCCGACTTCCAACATTCGCCAGGGCTGCGGTGACGTGATCACACCTCCCTTGTAGCAAGATTGGAGTGCAGAGCGTTTAGCACACCAAAACTCCAAGTTCAGCTCACCCAGGGGGATCTCCTGTCCTGTGGTGCTGAAGGGTCGAGTATAGGAAACAGCTTTTTGAGGCCCTTCATAAGACCTCACCCTGAGAGCAGGTATAAGGATAGTCCCCGAAAGGGGACCAATCTGACCTATCCTCTCTCCATGACCACCACAAAATGAATCAGACCATGGCAGTCACCCTGGAGCCTTTCAAGGCTGCAGGGGGGCGAAAGAAAAACAAAATGCAGGCCGATTGTGTCCGGCAGAACTGAGCAAGGACAAGACAGAAATATCAATTACAAAGTCTGTCCATGCACACCAGACTGAGAGAAATCTGAACTCTCCTCAGAATTCCCGAAGTCAAGAAGGGGCTCAAGCTGAACCAGCCAAACCAGCTGCCCCCACTTCTAAACCCCTGCAAAGGGGAGGCGTGAAGCGACGAAGGGTGGAAACTGACTCTGAAGAAGAGTCAGAACACACCCCAAGTCGATTAAAGCGGTTTAAGGTACCAAAAAAGCCTGAAGACTTCAACAATGCCTACCAACTGGTTAGGGCATTGGAGAAGGAAAGGAACGTCAGACTCTCAATTCAAATCTGCAAAGATGAGGGCATGATTATTGTCCCCAAAGACAAAACCACCCTGAACTTCCTGCAGGAAATCAAGGTGCTAAAAGACGGGAGAAAAGTGAGTATCTCATCACCACCGACCTTCCAAGAGAAAAAGACCAAGATGGTGCTACTTGGTTTTCCACTAGGGTTTGACGTGGAGGTGATCACGTCTCTCCCACAAGTGGTGGAGGCTTCCCGCATGACCAAAGGGAAGTCTCCAACCAGGCAAGTCCTGGTCATCCTCAAGGGAGCTCCAATCACCACCCTTGATCTGGGTAACTGGGGCTCCTACAAGCTCAGGACATATGTGCCAGAGCCCTTGAGGTGCTTTACGTGCCAGAAATTTGGGCATCACCAGGCCAATTGCAAGGCCAAAGCCAAATGTGGTGTATGTAGCGAGGCACATGAAACAAAAGTGTATCAAGGCACACAAAGATGGCCAGAAGGACACAACAGCCAAGTGTCCTAACTGTGCCAAGAAACATCATGCCTGGAGCCTGGCTTGCTCTGTCAGGAAACAGGCAGTCATTAAAAAGCAGGAGCAAGCCAAAAAGCATCCTGACTTTGTCCCAGCGCCCCCAGGCACCTATGTCTGGGGACAAAATAAAAGAGAAAAGACTCCCCGACCTCCTAAGAGGAAGGAATCGCCCCCACAGCCAAAACCAGATACCTCTAACAGAGAGGAATTCCCCAAGCTTGCTCGTGGCAAAACAACAAAAAAGAACCAAAGGGAAAGAGGTTCAAAGACCACAGCAAAGGTCCCCCCAGTAGAGGATAATCTTTTCTTTGACGAGAAAGATATGACTCTCCTGTTGAGTGCTGTAGTTTCTGCAGTACCAACAGCCTTGGGGAGGACCAGTGAGGAGGCGGAGAAAGCAGTGCAGGTCGCCATGACGGCTATAACCCAAACTGTTGCGGCTCTGAAGGGAAGGAAGCTAGAAGCCTTCAAACCGAAAAAGAGCAGCACTCCCCTCCCTAAATCTTCGGATAGCAGGCTAGCTTCGGGAGAAGCATCACGTGAAACCCCAGCTAGTCTGTTAGGACAGGCTGAAACTGTGCAGCAAAAGCCCCCACTGCAGGCTGAGTCTGTGCAGCCAAAGTCTGATCCCTTGACCCGAGGTGGCACTTCCAACCAAGGCTCTACACCTCTCGGTAGACCCTTAACCGGAGTGTCTCACTTAGAGGAAGTTGTACAATCCTCAATCAACGAGGATCTATATTTATCAGATGCACCAGCATGGGGACGTTCTGAAGCTGAAGCAAGTGACTTGAGTAACATCATGGCACACAGTCTAAGCATTCTGCAGTGGAATATATGCAGCTATTTAAAAGCAAGAAACTTCTTTTCTCCAGTCAACAGTGCGAGCAAGGAGCATTGACGTTGTCATGCTCCTGAGACACTAACTATGGGTTATTATTTGCGTGCTTTCAGGATATCTTATGCCTTCACCACTCCAAACCTGGATGGTGCTAGAGGCTGTTGACTTGGTAAAAGAAGCAATCCTGTGCTCCTTAAAGCCAACCGCGCCCTGTGGAGTTACGGTGTTGTTAATATCTTTGGACTGCTGAGATTCAGCTACCTGGGGGCCTATAAAAATATATTAATTTTACGCAAACCACTGTGCTGAGGAGCTTAGATTTAAAACAGGGTCTGTGGTACCAGCGCACAAAGATTTGAAGTGATATAGGGGGAGACTTCAAATGCACACAATTAGCATGC